TTCGTTTGCATTACTGAATAAAGTGTGTTTCTTACAAACTATTTTTTTGCAGACAAGAGGCAGAGGGAAACATTTGCAAATCAGGCCTGAGTTTGCATTCTCATCTCTGTCACCTCCTATAAGCTATGGAGAGTTAGTCTTTATACACAGTTTTCTTTCCTGTGAAATTGGGAAGACGATAACCTGTTCATGGGGCAATTAAGCTCAAACAGAATAAGGTGGGTAAAAAGCCTTAGATAACCTCCATAAAACTGCTAAGCTTTTTAAAGCCTATACAGAGACACGTTGTAGATGATAATATAGCGGGTGTTTTATGATTTTAAAAATCAAGCTGTTTTTGAAATCCAAATTCTTCCTAAAGCTGCGGGAAACAGATCTAATCCCCTTTAGTGTCTTGGAGACTCCCTGGAGTAGTGGAGAAGGCCCGTTCTTTGAAGATGTTAAATCCTGGCTCTGCCCAATTAGTGTGAAACCTGAGCCAGTCATTTCACCACCTGGCTCTCCCTTTCCTCATTTTTCAGAAAGGGATAGCAAGTATACCTACTTTTCAGGCTTGCATAGGGAATTAAAGATAAAATTAAAAACACTGCTCTGGTTATTTTATTTGGTGGGGGGATGGAGAGCAATGGCACAATCATAGCTCACTGCTCCAGCCTCAGCCTTTCAAGTAGCTGGGACCACAGGCTCCTGCCACTACACCCGGCTAATTTTTTTAATTTTTATTTTTTTGAGACAGTCTCGATCTGTCGCCAGGCTGAAGTGCAGTGGTGCAATCTCGGCTCACTGCAATCTCCACCTCCTGTGTTCAAGCGATTCCTCTGCCTCAGCCTCCCGAGTAGCTGGGATTACAGGCACACACCACCACACCAAGCTAATTTTTTGTATTTTTTTTAGTAGAGACAGGCTTTCACTATGTTGGCCAGGATGGTCTTGATCTCCTGACCTCGTGATCCACCTGCCTCAGCCTCCCAAAGTATTGGGATTACAAGTGTGAGCCACTGTGCCAGGCTGATAATTTGTAATTCTAACTGCCCCCTTCTGCAACTAATTATCGATTTTCAAATGTCCATTTGGGAAAGCTCTTTGAGAGACAAATTATTCTAGAGTTTTACTAAATACATGTAAGATCTTGGTTTAGATCCAAATTGTTGGCCTAAAGTTTGGCATAGGGAGTCTCAAAGGTTCAGTCAGTCAGGGAAATTAGCAGTCCAAGAACAATAGAGAAGCAAATGAAAATGCTAGAAACTGGCCAGCACAGTGGCTTATGCCTGTAATCCCTGCATGTTGGGAGGCCAAGGTGGGCACATCACCTGAGGTTGGGAGTTTGAGACCAGCCTGACCAACATGGAGAAACTGTTTCTACCAAAAATACAAAATTAGCTGGGTGAGGTGGTGCATGCCTGTAATCCTAGCTGCTTGGGAGGCTTGAGACAGGATAATCACTTGAACCTAGGAGGTGGAGGTTGCAGTGAGCTGAGATTATGACATTGCACTCCAGCCTGGACAACAAAAGAGAGACTCCATCCAAAAAAAAAAAAAGAAAAATACTAGAAACCGGCTGGGCATGGTGGCATGCCTGTAATCCAAGGCAGCAGGATCACCTGAGGTCAGGAGTTCTAGACCAGCATGACCAACATGGAGAAAGCCCATCTCTACTAAAAATACAAAATTAGCTGGGCATGGTGTTGCATGCCTGTAATCCCAGCTACTTGGGAGGCTGAGGCAGGAGAATCACTTGAATTCAGGAGGTGGAGGTTGCAGTGAGTCGGGATCGTGTCATTGCACTCCAGCCTGGTCAACAAGAGTGAAACTCTGTCTCAAAAAGAAAAGAAAATACTAGCCGGGCGTGGTGGCTCACGCCTGTAATCCAAGCACTTTGGAGGCCAAGGCGGGCAGATCACCTGAAGTCAGGAGTTCAAGACCAGCCTGACCAACATGGTGAAACCCTGTCTTTAAAAAAAAAAAAAAAGAAAAAAATTAAAAAAAAAAAAAAATACTAAAAACCCAGAAATTCTGAGAGCACCTGTGAGAGAGCTTAATGCCAGGCCATGACCTTTCAGGAGCCTCATGACAGAAGGCTGGATTGCACCTCTCTAGATGGGCTTTTTCCTACTCAGTTTTTCTTGCTCCAAGTTTTTTCTTTGTTGTTTTGAGACAGAATCTTGCTCTGTCACCCAGGCTGGAGTGCAGTGACAGGATCTTGGCTCACTGCAACTGCACCTACCTCCCGAGTAGCTGGGATTACAGGCTCGTGCCTCCACACCTGGCTAATTTTTGTATTTTTAGTAGTAGAGATGGGGTTTCACCATGTTGGCCAGGCTGGCTGGTCTCAAACTCCTGACCTCGAGTGATCACCCACCTTGGCCTCCCAAAGTGATGGGGTTACAGGCTCGAGCCACCTGAGGTCAGGAGTTCTGACCAACTTTTTAATATTTTGTAGAGATGGACATCTCACTATGTTGCCCAGGCTGGTCTTGAACTACTGGGCTCAGCTGATTCTCCTGGCTTGGCCTTCCAAAGTGTTTTACAGGTGTGACCCACCATGCCCAGCCTCTAAGCTGTCCTAGCTATTATTATATTACTATATACTATTATCTTCTAATCTTTCCTGACAAGACTCATTATTTTCATTGTAACTCAAATGGAATTGCCTTTCGTCCCTCCTAAATTTGTCAAAGCTGAGGATGGTAAATGCACATGACAGGAAAAAAGAATCAGGAAATTAGCTCAAATTATCTAGAAAGAATGCTTATTGACTTATCCTAAATACATAATTTATATAAATTTACATAATTATATAAAAGTACTTAGGCCAAATTTACAGTAAATATATATTAGTTACACTGTTAATTACAGCCTTGAAGCTTACTAAATTATTTTAAAACTACTTGGCCACATTAACTTCAGATAAAAGTTGTCCCTAAAACATTGGCTTTGGTGTCCAATAAAGTAGAACTCCTTTTAAATTATGTTTTAATTGAGGCCAGGAGTGGTGGCTCATGGCTGTATCCCTCGGAGGGATTACAGGGAGGCTGAGGCAGGTGGATCACTTGAGGTCAGGAGTGGAGACACACCTGGCCAACATGGTGAAACCCATCTCTACCAAAAAATATACAAAAATTAGCCTGGGAGGTTGAGGCAGGAGAATCGCTTGAACCCGGGAGGTGGAGGTGGCAGTGAACCGAGATTGCACTACTGCACTGCAGCCTAGACGACAGAAGGAGAATTCATCTCAAAAAATAAATTAATGAGGCCGGGCGCGGTGGCTCAAGCCTGTAATCCCAGCACTTTGGGAGGCCGAGGCGGGTGGATCACGAGGTCAAGAGATCGAGACCATCCTGGTCAACACGGTGAAACCCCGTCTCTACTAAAAATACAAAACATTAGCTGGGCATGGTGGCGCGTGCCTGTAATCCCAGCTACTCAGGAGGCTGAGGCAGGAGAATTGCCTGAACCCAGGAGGCGGAGGTTGCGGTGAGCCGAGATCGCGCCATTGCACTCCAGCCTGGGTAACAAGAGCGAAACTCCGTCTCAAAAAAAAAATAAAATAAAATAAATTAATGAAAAGTAAATGTTTTAATTGCAAAAATTAGCATGTAGAAAATAGGGCAAAAATACAAATTATCTGTGATTCTAATCCCAAGACACCCAACAATTTTCCTCATGTTTTTAGCATAAAGTCAAGTTATTTAAATGACTACTGCTAGCTTTTAGTCTCTGCACCAGGAATCTCATATGCTTCCAAATGTTTTACAAAACACAGTAAAAAAGTATTTCAGCTTTTCCATCTGCCATCTGCAGTGGAGCCGCCACCAAAATGCATTTTCGTGAAAACCCTTAGGGGGAAGACCATCACCCTCGAGGTCAAACCCTCGGATAAGATAGAAAATGTAAAGGCCACAATCCAGGATGAGGAAGGAATTCCTCCTGATCAGCAAAGACTGATCTTTGCTAGCAAGCAGCTGGAAGATGGACGTACTTTGTCCGACTACAATGTTCAAAAGGAGTCTACTCTTCATCTTGTGTTGAGACTTCGTGATGCTGCTAAGAAAAGGAAGAAGTCTTATACCACTCCCAAGAAGAATACGCACAAGAGAAAGAAGGTTAAGCTGGCTGTCCTGAAATACTATAAGGGGGATGAGAATGGCAAAATTAGTCGCCTTGGTTGAGTGCCCTTCTGATGAATATGGTGCTGGAGTGTTTACGGCAAGCCACTTTGACAGACATTGTGGCAAATATTGTTAGACTTACTGTTTCAACAAACCAGAAGACAAGTAACTATAAGTTAATAAAAGACATGAACTTTAAAAAAAAAGTATTTCAAAACGTCCCACTTACCCCTCCCACGCCTATTTTTAAGATGATTAGGATTGACTCAAGTTTAAAAATTTCACAAAAAGGAGCGTTTATTAATTACATTTTAAAAGGAAGGGTTACAAAAAGAGATAAGCCTGGAATTTCTAATTCGGGGGCCATGGTACCTCTCCCCTCCAAGTCCACGTTGTAGCAACCTGCTAGGTCCACGCATGGGCGGGTCCTAATCCACGGTTCCGGCTTGCGCTCCCTGTGAACTAACAGCCGGAGAGGCTCACGCACGAGCCCGGAAGTGAGGGAAGGGGACTTTTGTCCGCAGCCGCCTCCCGGCTGGAACCTTATCCTCCGTGCTTGGCCGCTGGCGGCGTAACTCGGGGTTTCGCTTCGGAACACCTCCCACTCCTCCCGTCTAAGAGGAGCAGTAGCAAGCTGAGCTCAGAGCGAAGCGAGCGAGCCAAGGAGGGAAGGAGCCCTGAGCGGTGCTGGTGGGAAACGACTCTCCGTGCGGCCGCTGGAAAGCGACCAGAGGGAGGTGCGCCACCGGCCCGACTGAGGCTGCGCAAACCCCGGGGTCTGGGCGGGGCGGTCCTCGTGCGCGCTGCGTCGCCGTGGAGACAGGGGCGGGCCAGTCGCGAGGCTGGCGTCCGGAGGCGCGCGAAGCCTTGAGGTAGGCGTGGGTCGCGCGGGAGTAAGGAAGCGGGTCCTGGACCGCGGGCTCCTGCCGGGACTTCTTCCAGCGTAAGGCCGGAGGGCTCGGCTTCCCCAGGTACGAGACCTGGCCCGAATGTCCCCAGCCTCTCAGGGGCTCGGCCTCTCCGGCTGTGAGCCTGGCAAGGAGCTCCGTCGCGTCCGTCCGAGCTGGGCCAGGTGAAATCTGTCGGAGTCCCTCTTCCTCCCCTGGAAGTGCAGGTGATGCTGCCTATCTGCGGGTCTGTGGTGTGGGAATGGAGGAAGCGCGACAGGAGGGCACAGGATGGGGCCGGGAGCCCGCCATCCTCTCCCGCCGCGTCTGCAAGACTTGTCCTCCGCCCCAGGGCACCGTATCCTTCCAGGCGTCTTGTGCGCTCCTGGCCGGTGCTCCTTAGCGTGCGCGGATCCAAATCAGGGGTTTCCTCCTCCCGGCTGCGTGGCCCGGGGGCGGAAGGGCTGGTGTATGGGCGACCTTGCCCCACTGAACGCGCAGGGACTAACGCAGTAAACAAACCTTGAAGCCCTCTCCCAGTGGGAGATGGGTGCACGTTTTTATTTTGTGGGAGGCCGTTCGGATTTAACTGCTGTGTAGATGTGTCGTAAATATTTGTTGAATGATGTGAGGGACTTGAGTACAGCCATACCTGACTATATTGCACTTCACAGATATTGTGGTTTTTACAAAATAAAAGTTTGTGGCAAGCAGCCCTGCACCAAGCAACTATTTTTCCAAGCATGTGCTCTCTTCCTATCTCTCACATTTTGGTAATTATCCCTATATTTAAAACTTCTTATTTTAGGTATATCGTTACAATAATCTGTGATATTTGATGTTAGTACTGCAATTGTTTTGGGTCGCCACGAACCGCACAGCTGTAAGACAGCAAACTAAAGTGTTCTGTCTGACTGCTCCACCTACCAGCCAGTTCCGTTTCTCTCCTCCCTCTCTGCCCTCCCTGTAGCCTGAGAGGCAATAATATTGAAATTAGACCGATTAATAGCCGCACAGTGGCTCCTAAATGTTCAAGTGAAAGGAAGAGTCTCGTGTCTCTCACTTTATATCAAAAGCTGGAAATGACTAAGCTTAGTGAAGGAGGCACATCAAAAGCTGAAAACCTGAAAGCTAGGCCTCTTATACCAAACAGCCAAGTTGTGTGAATACAAAGGAAACGTTGTTGAAGGAAATTAAAAGTGGTACTCCAGGGAACACACCAGTGATTAAAAAAGCTAAACAGCCAGCCAGGTGCGGTGGCTCACGCCTGTAATCCCAGCACTTTGGGAAGCCGAGGTGGGTGAATCACCTGAGGTCAGGAGTTTGAAACCAGCCTGGCCAACATGGTGAAATCTCATCTCTACTAAAAATAAAAAATAGCGGGGCATGGTGGTGCGTGCCTGTAATCCCAGCTACTCGGGAGACTGAGACAGGACAATTGCTTGAACCTGGGAGGTGGAGGTTGCAGTGAGCTGAGATGTGGCCATTGCACTCTAGCCTGGATAACAAGAGTGAAACTTCGTCTGAAAAGAAAAGAAAACAGCGTTAATGCTGACGTGGAGAAAGTTTTAGTGGTCTGAATTGAAGATCAAACCAGCCACAACATTCTCTTAAACCAAAACTTAATCTCAAGCAAGTCCCTAATTCTCTTCAATTCTATGAGGGCTAGGAGAGATGAGGAGAAAAGTTGAATCTCGCCAGGGGCAGAGGCTTGTAATCCCAGCACTTTGGGAGGCTGAAGTGGTGTATCACCAGCCTGGCCAGCATGGTGAAATCCCATCTCTACCAAAAAAATTAGCCAGGAGTGGTAGTGCATGCCTGTAGTCCCAGCTACCCAAAAGGAGAATCACTTGAGCCTAGGAGGTGGAGGTTGCAGTGAGCCGACATGCTCCACTGCCCTCTAGTCTGGGTGACAGTAAGACTGTCTCAAAAACAACAATAACAAAAAAAAGAAAAGTTGGACGCTAGCAAGGGTTTGTTTTTGTTTTGTTTTTTAAAGACGGGGTTTCACCATGTTGGTCGGGCTGGTCTTGAACTCCCAACCTCAGGTGATCCACCCGCCTTGGCCTCCAAAGTGCTTGGATTACAGGTGTGAGCCACCACACCTGGCCGATTTTGTTTTTTTTTTTTTTTTTTAGATTTTCTCTCTTGATGCCCATGGAGTGCAGTGGATGGGTTCACTGTCTGTCTATAGTTGGCATGTTCCTCATGCCTGCCTGAGTTTACACTGGATGCTCTAGTTTCCTCCCACGTCCCCAAGATAAGCACATTAGGTTCCTTTATGTGTCTAAGTGATCCCAGTCTGAGTGTGTGTGTGTGTGACTATGCAATGCTGTGAATGGCGTCCTGTCCACAAGGATGGGTTCCCTTCTTGTGCCCTGAGCTGCCAGGATAGACGCTAGCTAGCCTTGACTAGAATAAGTGGATAAATAGTTATCTTACTTGTTCTTCTGAATCTTCTGTACATGCATGTGTAGCTCATATTTATTTCAGTGTTTAATATTAGAAGCTTTTGAAGTTTAGTGATGTTTTGTGTCCAGAAATACATTATAGGAACTTAATTCTTGTTTATATCAATTAGCTTTTGGTAAAATTGGTTTCTTTGTACATCGTTTTGCTTAAAGTTGTAGTGTCCAAGAACTTATCGATGACATTAAGTGAGGATGATGTTAAGTGAGGACTTACTGTACTTAGTTCTAGATGAGGCTTGATGATATTCAGGTTCAATTTATTTTTTATTTTTTATTTATTTATTTTTATTTTAGGTGGAGCTTTGCTCTTGTTGCCCAGGCTGAAATGCAGTGTTGTGATCTCAGCTCACTGCAACCTCCACCTCCCAGTTTCAAGCAATTCTCCTGCCTCAGCCTCCAATGTAACTGGAATTATAGGCGCCCACCACCATGCCCAGCTAATTTTTGTTTTTTCGTAGAGACAAGGTTTCACCATGTTGTCCAGGCTGGTCTCGAACTCCTGACCTCAGGTGATCCACCTGCCTCGGCCGCCCAAAGTGCTGAGATTATAAGCATGAGCCACCATGCCTGGCCAGGTTCAGTTTTTTAGCGAGATTTCATCATGGGTGGTAGCACTTAGAGTTTTTTTGTTGGTTTTATTTTGGTCTCTTTCTTATTTGTCGGATGTCTTTTCCAAATTTTTTGTGATTCTTGATTGTCCATTTATACTTAAGTGTAATTGAGAAATTATGGCTGAGCATGGTGGCTCACACCTGTAATCCCAGCACTTTGGGAGGCTGAGGCAGGCAGATCACTTGAGGTCAGGAGTTCAAGACCAGTCTGGCCAACATGGCGAAACCCTGTTTCTACTAAAAATATATATATAGAAAAAAAATTAGCCGGGTGTGGTAGTGTGTGCTTATAATTCCAGCTACTCAGGAGGCTGAGGCAGGAGAATTGCTTGAACCTGGGAGGTGGAGGTTGCAGTGAGCAGAGATCACACCACTGCACTCCAGCCTCTGCGACAGAGCAAGACTCCATCTTAAAAAACAGAAAATGAAAACTGGCCAGGTGCAGTGGTGCCTGTCTATGGTCCCAGCTACTTGGGAGGCCAAGACAGGAGAATTGCTAGAGCCCAGGAGTTTGAGATTGCATTCAGCTATGATCACGCCACTGCACTCCACCTTGAGTGACAGAGAGGAATCCTATCTGTACACACAACAAAAGCCACTTTGGGAGGCCAAGGTGGATGGATCAGTTGAGCTCAGGAGTTTGAGACCAGCCTGGGCACTATAGCAAGACCCAGTCTCTACAAGTAGTAAAAAATTAGCTCATCATGGTGGCACATACCTGTGGTCCCAGCTACTTGAGAAGCTGTGGTGGGAGGATTGCTTGAGCCTGAGAGGTTGAGGCTGCAGTGAGCTGTGATAGTGCCACAGTACTTCAGCCTGAATGACAACATGAGACTCGGGATGACAATGGGAGAAAGAAAAAAGGCCAGGTATGGTGACTCATTCCTGTAATCCTAACACTTTGGGAGGCTGAGGTGGGAGGATCACCTGAGCCTGAGGAGGTCGAGACTGCAGTGAGCTGTGATTGCACTGCTACACTCCAGCCTGGGCAACAGAGGGAAATCCTGTCTTTTATTTTCTCAGACAGAGTCTTACTCTGTCTCCCAGGCCGCAGTGCAGTGGCACAATCTCAGCTCACTGCAACCTCTGCCTCATGGACTCAAGTGATTCTCCTCCCTCAGATTCCTGAGTAGCTGGGATTGCAGGTGTCCACCACCGTGCCTGGCTAATTTTTGTATCTTTAGTAGAGACAGAGTTTCACCATGTTGGGCAGGCTGGTCTTGAACTCCTGACTTCAGGTGATCCGACTGCCTTGGCCTCCCAGAGTGCTGATATTACAGGCATGAGCCACTGTGCCTGGCCAGAAATCTTGTCTTTAAAAAAGGAAAGAAAGAGAATGAAAACTATACACAGTAACACTGATAACCATAAAAATTAACGTGGGGAAAAATAAGAAATCTTGGCCTCTACTGGTGTTTTTGTGAAGGGAAGTTGAAGGTGCTGAAGCATCTAGACAGGAAGAAAGAGCTAGGTTCACCTTTTGAGTGTGGCTCACTCTCCTCTCAGTTTCCTTTCTTAGAAAATGACATACTGCAGATGACATGATCCTATATCTAGAAAACTCCATCATCTCAGTCCAAAAGCTTCTTAAGCTGATAACCAACTTCAGCAAAGCCTAAGGATACAGATCAATGTGCAAAAATTGCAAACATTCCTATACACCAACAACAGGCAAGCAGAGAACCAAATCATAAATGAACTCCTATTCACAGTTGCCACAAAAAGAATAAAATACTAGGAATATAGCTAACAAGGGATGTGAAAGACCTCTTCAAGGAGAACTACAAACCACTGCTTAAAGAAATCAGAGGTGACACAAACAAATGGGAAAACATTTCATGCTCATGGATAGGAAAAATCAATATTATGAAATGGCCATATTGGCCAAAGCAATTTACAGATTCAATGCTATTACCATTAACTACCGTTGACATTCTTCACATACTTAGAAAAAACTATTTTAAAATTTGTATGGAACAAAAAAAGCATGAATAGCTATGACAATACTAAGCAAAAAGGATAAAGCTGCAGGCATCAGGCCACCCAACTTCAAACTATACTACAAGGCTACAGTAACTAAAACAGAATGATACTGGTGCAGAAACAGAAACACAGACCAATGGAACTGAATAGAGAACCCATAATAAGACCGCATGCCTACAGCCATCTGATCTATGACAAATCTGACAAAAACAATGGGGAAAGGAGTCCCTATTTAATAACAGGTGCTGGGAGAACTGGCTAGCCATATGCAAATATTGAAGCTGGACTCCTTCCTTATACCATATACAAAAACCAACTCAAGATGGTGTTAAAAACTTAACTGTAAAACCCAAAACTATAAAAACCTTAAAAGAAAATCTAGGCAATATCATTTCAGACATAGGCACAGGCAAAGATTTCATGACGAAGATGCCAGAAGCAATTGCAACAAAATCAAAAATTGACAAATGGGATCTAATTAAACTAAAGCACTTCTGCACAGCAAAAGAAACTATATCAGAGTAAACAGACAAGCTATAGAATGGGGAAAAGTTTTGCACTCTATCTGACAAAGGTCTAACATTATGAGAAAAAGCCACATTAAGAAGTAGGCAAAGGACATGAACAGACACTTTTCAAAAGAAGACATACATATGGTGAACAAACGTGAAAAAAAGCTCAACATTGCTGATCATTAGAGAAGTGCAAATCAAAACCACACTGAGGCTGGGTGCTGTGGCTCACCCCTGTAATTCCAGGACTTTGAGAGGCCAAGGTGGGCAGATCAGTTGAGGTTAGGAGTTTGTGACCAGCCTGGCCAACATAGTGGAATCCTGTCTCTACTGAAAAATACAAAAATTAGTCAGGCATGGTGGCAGGTGCACGTAATCCAACTACTTGAGAGGCTGAGGCAGGAGAATCACTTGAGCCCAGGAGGTGGAGGTTGCAGTGAGCTGAGATTGTGCCACAGCGTTCCAGCCTGGGTGATAGAGCAAGACTTTGTCTCAAAAAATTTAAAAATTTAATTAAAAAATAATATTTTAAATCAGAGACCTATCCCATGTTAATCTAGTGTTGAATTACAGAGGGCAGAAGACTAGGAGCTGGCATGTAGCTATTCAGAATGTGGCTCCTGAGTGAGTACAAATAATTTTCTGTCTCTTTTATTTAGGTAGAAGGGGAAGATAAAAGACTTTGATTCATGAGGAATCTGTTCACTGAGAAGTGTATGTCAAGCCACTGGTTGAATTTCCATCAAAAAAATGATTAAGCAGAGAATGGAGAAGAAGGTTGATTCCAGGTGAGTGATGGAACTTGAAAAAAAAAATATAACTGGAATGATGGTTCATATAAAACTCTGTAAACATTTTGTGTATGAAAAAAATAAATTACAAATAATGAGTGAGGTAGTAATTATGGGTATTTTCTTTTTTCATTGTTATTTTGAGTTTCTCATCTGTAAGATATGTAAATTTTATACATTATGTTACAGTCAAAAAGCATTCTGAGTGTATGGAAATGTCAATCATTAAAATTCTGATTTTGAGCAGAAGTGAGTATGATTTTCCTTAGTTTTGAAGTTACATCTTCAAGGTTGGCTCTTGTGTCTTTCTTCTACTTTTGATCATGGTTGCTTTCCGACTTTTACCTTTTGTTGGCTGTGTCTCTCCACTGAAGCTCTCAGCACCTTATAATGTGGCAGACTCTGTATAACTCTCCCTTTCTGGATTTTGGTAATTGTCCCCTCCCCTCATCTCTTTGGGCCTAGAGGTAATACCAGCTTAGGTTCTACTAGCTTCAGGTTCCTGCACTGTTCCTTGTGGTTCCTCTACACTCACAAGTTTGTAAATATATCATCTTCAGATTACTCTATTTTTAATATGTCATCTATTTTCTTGTGACCTTTCATAGATTTTATGAATGTTACTGGATTTTATCATATGGTTTTTCTATATTTATTAAGATAATCATGTCGTTTTTGTTTTTTTTTTCTATTATGCTGTATTACATAGATTGATTTTTGGATGTTAAACCAGCCTTGCATTCCTGGGATAAATCCCACTTGGTCATGGTGTTTATATGGTATATAGTTGTATTAGGGTCCTCTAGAGGGACAGAACTAATAAGACATATGTGTGTGTGTTTGTGTATGTATGTATGTGTGTATATATATATATGAGTTTATTAAGGAAAATAGACTCACACGATCACAAGGTGAAGTCCCATGATAGGCAGTCTGCAAATTGAGGAACAAGGAAGCCAGTAGTGGCTCAGTCCAAGTCCTAAAACCTCAAAAGCAGGGAAGCCAACAGTGCAGCCTTCAGTCTGTGGCCAAAGGCTTGAGAGCCCCTGGCATTCCATTGGTGTAAGTCCAAGAATCCAGCAGCCAAAGAACTTGGAGTCTGATATTCCAGGGCAGGAAACATTCAGCATGGGAGAAAGATGAAGACCAGAAGACTTAATCCCACCTTCTGCCTGCTAGCAGCACTGGCCCCCTATTGGATGATGCTCACCCACATTGTGGATGAGTCTTCCTGTCCTAGTCCACTGACTGAAATGTTAATCTCCTCTGGCAACACCCAGAAACACCCAGATCCACCCAGAAACAATATTTTGCATCCTTCAATTCAATCAAGTTGACTCTTAATCTTAACCATGACAGTGGTTTTTATATGTTGTTGGATTTGGTTTGCTACTATTTTTTGAGGATTTTTATGTCTATAGTCATGAGGTATATTGGTCTTTTTTATTCTTTTTGGTAATAATCTTTGGCTTTGGTATGATGGTGATACTCATCTCAATGAATTTGGAAGTGTGCCTCTATTTTCTGGAAGAGTTTGTAGAGTATCGTTATTATATTTTATTTGCTTATTTTTGAGATGGAGTCTTGTTTTGTAGCCCAGGCTGTAATGCAGTGGCGCAGTCTGGGCTCACTGCAACTTCCGCCTCCCAGGTTCAAGTGATTATCCTGCCTCAGCCTCCCTAGTAGCTGGGATCACAGCACCTGCTATCACATCCGGCTAATTTGTTTGTTTGTTTGTGATGGAGTCTCACACGGTTGCCCGAGCTGACGTGCAATGGCACAATCTCAGCTCACTGCAACCTCTGCCTCCCCAGGTTGAAGCAATTCTCCTGCTTCAGCCTCCCAAATAGCTGGGATTACAGGTGTCTATCACCACGCCTGCCTAATTTTTTGTATTTTTAGTAGAGACGGGGTTTCACTATTTTGGCCGGGCTGGTCTTGAATTCCTGACCTCGTGATCTGCCCGCCTCAGCCTCCCAAAGTGCTGGGATTACAGGTGTGAGTCACTGTGCTCTGCCTATTATTTCTTTTAAAATCTTTCATATAATTAAACACTGAAACTATCTGTGCTTTTTTTTGGTAGGAATATTTATTTTAGAGACAGGGTCTTGCTCTGTCGCCCTGGCTGGAGTACAGTGGCACGATCACAGCTCAATGAAGTTTCTAATTTCTGGACTCAAGCAGTTTTGCTGCCTCAGCCTCCCAAAGTGCTGGGATTATAGTGTGAGCTACCAAGCCTGGCCTCTTTATAGGAAAAATTTTAATTACTCATTTAATTTTTTTACTTGTTAGAGATTATTAAGTTTCCATTTCTTCTTTTTGTTTGTTTTTTGAGATGGAGTCTCACTCTATTGCCCAGGCTGGAGTGCAGTGGCACAGTCTTGGCTCACTGCAACCTCTGCCTCCCTGGTTTAAGCAGTTCTGCCTCAGCCTCCTGAGTAGTTGGGTTTATAGGTGCATGCCACCACGTCTGGCTGATTTTTGTGTTCTTAGTACAGATGGGGGTTTTACCATGTTGGCCTGGCTTGTCTTGAATTCCTGACCTCAAATGATCCACCTTCCTCAGCTACCAAAAGTGCTGGGATTACAAGCGTGAGCCACCGTGCCCAGCTCTATTTCTTCTTGAGTTAATTTTGCTAATTTCAGCTTTTGGAATTGTTTCCATTTCATTTAAGTTGTCCAGTTTGTTGGCATAAAGTTAATTGTATGCCCTTATAATTCTTTTAATTTATTAAGGGTCAGCGATAATGTCCTCTCTGTCATTCCTAAGTTTGGTGATCTGTGTCTTCTCTCTTTTTTCATTGGTTGATCTAGGTAAAGTCTTGTCAGTTTTGCTCAGGAACCCTTACTGTTAAGCTCTTTTTTAAACTAAGTTGAACTGGGTTCCTGTAGCTTGCAACTTAGTGTGCTACTAATTTATGGAAGTTTCTTATAGCATCCACTGTGGGTCTTGGGCAAAATGGGACTAAGGAGTGTTTAAGGGACCTATTCAGCAGGTATTATGGACCCCTTCTTCCTGAGCAGTGCCATCTTTGTGCTTCAAAATTTTGTCTTGGTAGAATGAATTTGGTTGGTCCAGCAAGGGTCAGTTTTCTCCCCCTGCTATAATCAACTAGGAGTTAGAGGAAGGTCATGGAGTTCAAGCATAGCTGCTGAGATCCTGCCCCTGTTGACAGAAGAAGGAGTTCTCATAGAAGAAGGAGTCCTTGGGTGCAGTGGCTCACGCCTGTAATCCCACCACTTTGGGAGGCTGAGGCATGTGGATCACCTGAGGTCAGGAGTTAGAGAGCAGCCTGGCCAACATGGTGAAACCCGTCTTTACTAAAAATACAAAAATTAAGTAG